AAGTATATTTTAAGTGATATTTGATTTTTCAAAATTGAAATTAAACGAACTTTACAATTGTCTAATTTTGAAAGTGGTGCAAGTCCATTTGCAGCCCGTAAGTATACATCAGTTTAGTAAAATACGCCTAAAACAAATTTATATAACCAAATTACATATTGACAAAACAGTAGAAACATTCCCAGACTTCATATAATTTGCCTAAATTTTTTAATTAACAGATATGTTAACATTTAATTTTCTCGAAACATGAGAAAATGGACTTACACCACTTTCAAAATAAACGGTCCATATACCGGGTGTTTCACCTAACTTGACCACCCTAAATATCTCGGTAATTATCGACGTCACAAAAAAATGTTCCAGACAAAAGTTGTACGGTGTGGAGGGTGCTTTCAAATGCGACAAATTTTTTTTATTTCGGTGGAGGCGTTGATGCACAGTGAAGGTCACCGTCACTTTTTTAAATAGAATGGTACATTTTTTTTCAACCATCCTGTGGAGCACCTCAAGTTGTATAAAAAAGATTAGGGGGTCAAAGTCGTTCAAGGTCATTCAAGGTCAGTATCGATGATACAAATCTAATTATCTCGGATCAGTGAGCTACAATAGGACAACAAGCTCCTGTCTCAGCAGATACTGAATGTATGTTCTGTCAGGCATTATTTTCTGAGGATACTCAAGGAGAAACATGGATCAAATGTTTACTGTGTGGGTTCTGGGCACATAATGACCGCGCTGGTCCAGAGATTGAGACTTGGGTTTGTGATTCCTGCAAGTAAAATAAGTTAACTTTAACCGAATAAGTTACTTTTATTCTTGACCAAAGTCTCAAGATCTCTTATAAAAAGACGTTACTGTTTTTTTTTATTTTTATTTTTTTTTAAGAAACTTTGTGTCTTATTTCCATATTTCATATTTGGGTATCTATTCCATAAATAGGTACTATTCTGTTACTTACATTTTTGAATTAAAAAACATATGTTGTTTAATATTAAAACACAAGACTGTGACTAAGATAAGCCAAAACGTATGAATGACTGTGTTTACAATTAAAAGTCTTTAATTCATGATAGTGCTTATTTTTATGGCACAAAAACAAAATTGTATTCCATATTTCGTCACTTCCTCTAATATTTAATCAGAATTTATTGGGACACGTGAAGTTTGACGAATACGGCGTGAAACATCGCTCATATTAATAGTAGGTGTTTTAAGTGCAAATATTTCACACACGTGTCAAAGCTGGTTCAATATAGACTGTTTAAGAAGAGACGAAGTCATAGTTATTATTTTCAGTAATTAAGTATCCCTCAAAAAAAACTTCATGTAAAAACCTACCCCAAGTACAGGAGTGCTGTGAGTTCCTCTAATAAAAATTATTGAAATCATATTATTGATGCCAAGTATGTACATAAGTCACTACATATCTGCCTATTATATGATATAGCACTGGCCCATTATTTTATTTATATTTTCAAAATTTCCTATAACGTTTTCGCTACTCTTTTACATCACTACTGCTTCCCGTATTTAATGGTCATTCAATAATTATTAACACTTTAGGTGATTCGTTATTGGGTACTACTTGGCGGGCCCGTACCAGGAATTTCAAAGTACTTACTTTGAACGTACTGATAGTACTCTAATACTATAGCCCGTATTCACAACTCGTTCTTAAAGTCACTAACAGAGTCTCTTGTAGTTAAAAGTCAATAAGAAAAAATGTAAAAGCGCGCTGTTAGCACTAAACGCGAGTTCTGAATACGGGCTTAAATGTTTGCAATTAAGCTTTTACCGTGATTATTTTTTACGAGTTATTGTTAATACGCTCTATATAGAAAGTTGACCCTGGTTTTGAGTTTGATGACTGGCATAATGAACGCACATTTGTATGAAGAATGCACGGACCAAGTAGTACTCGATAAGGAATCACCTAAGGTTTTAATAATTATTAAATAACCATTAAATCATAATTAAATACGGGAAGCAGTAGTGATGTAAAAGAGCAGCGAAAACGTTATAGGAAATTTCAAAAATACAATTAAAATGACGAGCCATTGCTAAACCATATAATAAGTAAATATGTAGTGACTTATGTACTTGTCGTTAATAATATGATTTCAATACTTTTTGTTAGATGAATTCACAGCATTCCTATACTTGGCGTAGTTTTGTTTTCCCTTTTATTTTGGGGGTTTTTATTTTAGTAGTGTAGTACTTTTGTAACTTTCGAAGTTAGCATCGCACCGCTACACTCCTCAGTGCAGGCAGGCACGAGGTGCTGGATTTTGTCATAATAAATCTTATTAAGCTTACACTATGCCCTGAAACTTAAGATTGCAACGAACAAAAAATATTTAGGTAATATCTTATGAGCAGCCTCGTTCGAAAGGTTACTCTAGGAATCAGCGGTAAATAGCGAAGAACCGTTACCCGCCAAGCTACACGTTCGAAATCACGTTCAACTCGGCTACGACGGGATATACGTTACCGACGGAGGCGATGATCACAAAATCCTACTCCCGGACTCGCCGCTACGATTTAGCACTATGCTTTTAGTATCGCCTAAAACCGTAGCGTTGAGCATCTCCCCGCTCATATCTGATACACACGCTTTAGAGTATCACCCGGTATAAATCCATGCGTTTCGCGGGGCTCACAAAATTATTCCCTTACCAGTCTTTTTTAATTGAACCGTACAAGCTTGGATAACGTAAAAATGGTACACAAATTGAAAGTTTCATGCCCTATGGCGACTTCGAACCGTAAAACCAAGAAAGTGATCTGGAAATTTGAAGTTGCGCCTCGTATCCCAATTCTCAAAACCAACAACCTCATCACTTGTGACATCTTAATCCAGATGCGGATATAAACTGTTGCGATAAACAATAATAAAGGCAAAATGATATAATTTTTTTCCACTATTGTATAGGATATTGGGGAAGGCACAAAATCGCACCTATCGACGAACACTAATAAATCTCAATATCTACAGTCTTTATTGCTATAAGTACTAAATACGTTGTTCTTACGCTTTGTGTTGTTTCATTCTTTTCCTTTCCTTAATAACAGAGCGTCTAAAAGATACAAATACCCAATTCTCAATTAACTATACAATATACTACAGTAAATTCTGTTCACACATATAACATCCATCCGTAATATTACTATACTATATTCGACTAGCGTACATAGTAACACAAATTGTTTTCCATAGAAATTCTTTAATTACACCCGAGCAATGTCCATTTTGTTGAAATTCGAATGGGACACATTAATACATCAAGGAAAAGGGGAAGGGGAAGGGGAAGGGGAAGGGGTGTTTGTGACAAGGAAAAGGGGAAATATCATAACGGCACAGTTGTAAGAGACACGGCCATTTTGTACGCAAAGGGAAATATAAGCGTCCACCTTTTGGCAACGTGAATAAGGTTCGAAAAAAGAAAAGATATTTCTCAATCATCAATAGGAGGAGGAAAAGGAAGAGGAGTAGGACGAGGAAAAGCATTTCGCTACTTCACTTCACTTAAAAAATAAAGACTATTTACACATGTAGGTATTATGGTATTTACATATACCTACATCTAACATCAACTGTTTAACAACATGTAAATATCTATAAATTCTCTTTGTAACATTCATTAAGAATTAGTAAATGACCCTACTACTTCTATGAACGTAGATACACTCTACGTTTCAATGACAAGCATGAGGATGGATTCGTAGTAGAATCGTCAATTTTGTGGGTGACAATTTTTTTGTCATCATTCATAAAGAGAGGTAAAAAAACTTGTCCATCACAATAGTAGTACAACGTTAGTACAATTATACAACCGATACAATCATCCTCAGGCTAAATCATCGCCTACCGATTGTCATCTAGATTTTTGATGGTGTTATGAACCAGTGAAGACGAAGTACGTCTGGAGATGCGTACTCGTCGATATTTTTTCGTTTGCTCTTCATTCGCTAACACACACGGACGAAAAACCTTAGTAATTGTCGTTCTGATTAATTAATGACACGGACTCTACACATGGCTACTCAAAGCATTTATGATCTTGACACCATTTTATTGCTTATTTAAAATATAGTCCAAAGAGACCATTGTAACGCATTATTTTACAGTCATGGAACGATCATGATCGCGCCATTATTTTTTTGAGATAATATATCAATATATAAAAAAAATATACGTTACGTATAATAATATATATCTTTTTGCGAGTCTGAGGTATATCTTTTATATCCTTTGTCATATAAGACATATTTATCCATACTGTGATAAAAAATATTAAATATATTCGCGCGGTTCACGTAAAAATATTATTAGAGCGCAATCGTAATCGTCCAACGATTATTATAGATTTCTCTACAGTATACACCGTCGAAACTTTACATGGTAAGAAATCCCTAATTATTATAGACACATTGCGATAAATATATATCTATATTATGTATATATATAATATAAGCAACACAACTTTTAGGCCGATAGAAAAGATATTTACATGCCTTTCAAACGATAGTCCTGACAGTAATAATATATTAATACAGACCTACGTTCTAAAACTTATTAACAACATAGTTATTATATTATACAGCCGATTGACGAGTTTCATGATGTTTTATTGACAGATCGAGAAAAGTGATATTTAGCAAATCACGTATGAATCTATATAACATTTTTTGTTAAAAACTATGCGTGGTGTATGATTTTGCACTGCAGTACATTTTATTTTGACCATAAATTTCCATGATTTTATGGAAAGCTGTGTGTGATTTGCTAAGGCTTTATTGTCTGCGAGCTGTGAAAAAAAAATACAATAACCTCGTGGATCGGCTATAGCTATTGAAATAATAACAATTAATAAATATCTCATGACTAATTGTTTTCTATTATTAAAAGAAATCGTATTGAGATATTCGACATGATTACAAGTGCCGTCCTGCAGCATCAACGCTTTATGTTAACAGTTATTATTAATACGTGTTGTGGCATTTAATTACATTATCATCGATAAAACATTACTCTATTATTATTTTTCATTGTTACGTTTATCACCGATCACGGCTCATCCAATTGAATCTAAAGGATATGGCTGACTTCCTTCCTTGCCATAGGAGTTTGTTATTCAGCTAAGACATCGCTATTCCTCTAAGTGGATATCGGCGATAAAGTTATTGGTGTTTCTACTGGTAGTATAGGGAGGTAGATTGCCGTCGTAGACGTGATATTCTGCGGCACTTGGTAGGTACCCACTCAACGTCGTAGAATCGACCTACGAGAATCAAGCTACTACAAAATCATGAACAACCAGCGAATGGTATGGTCGACATTGAAAGAGAAATAGAGAGTCGATAAGGGACAGAGGGAATATTAAAACTTGGCTTCAGGATTATGTACATTCCTGAAAGAAGAAAATTTGTAAAGTCTTCGGCCCATCTAACATCAGGGTGTTTACTTCGTGCGAGGATAAAGTGAAGTACTGGAAGGTGTTATCCTAGACACTTGTTCAATATAAGTGTCAGCGTAGCGACAAGGACTCTACCGATAGTGACATAGATGCTGCATGACGATAACACTGAGGTCCTGGAGTTGACGGGACCTCCTCGATCCTTTCCAAATCATTAGCAGCGCCAGCACTGTTTTGCTTGTAGAGACGTGGGGTCCCTCTTTGACTTGGAGGATCAGGAAGGATAGGAGGATCATCTGCACGGTCTAGACTAAATTGTCTTTTGAGTAAACGGCAACCTGTGCCTTTCCCTGTGAGGAAGATAGGACTGGTTTTAAAAATTTGTTTTTTTTTTTGGTTTGATGTTAATCAATGATACTTGCCATAGTGTTCATTAGGTGAAAGACATCTGTAATGATTGTACGGAGTGCTTAGGTCATCCTCGTCGATGACTCCGACACGTCTATGCCTTCCCCGGAAGGTCGATCCAGCTGTCATGGAAGTGAGTGAGCTTGTTGATGCACCTAGAAGCGCAGCAGCGACTTCCGTAGCGGAAACAGGTGTACCAAGAGATATTTGTGTATCCCCGGAAGTACTCTTTGTCACTGTAGCGCCAGTGTACTCTGGAGTCTTGACGATGTCCCTCAGGATCTCCACAGGTTCGCCAGACTTCAAGGAAAAACTTGCAGTGAGAACCTTCTCGTCGTGAACGGAAACAGCTACCTTTTTTGTAGCTGAATTAAAGGAGTGCTCGCTGCTTGTAATTTTAATTCCAGAGGGGGACGCGTGACCACCGGATGTAGTTGCGAAGGAGGCACTGCACTCGCCAGAACTATTATCCTCCGACGTTGGGACCGGAAGTTGCGGTGTTCCTGATTCTGACGGATCATTGTTCGGCAAGCTTCCAATGATCAAACTTTCATCCAGCCTTAAAAAATTGTACGAGGACATGTAGAACTGATTTAATACAGTTTTTAACATTATATTCATCATATCTCAGATTATTTATCTGAACTTACCCATGATCCTCTCTGAGCAGCAGTGTAACAATAAAATCATCATTAAATACCTGAAACCCAAATTGATCCTGCAGAGGAAAATCACACGCATGCGTAGGCTACTGACGTTAATCACCAGGGTAATAAACACGTGTGATGCTGGACGAGATTGTTTTTTTTTTTCAAAGATCCTTAAGCGGCTCGATCGACTGAGAAGGGTCAACTGATTCGCGGGAGCGTTAAGCTGTTCATTCAACTGGATAGGATTCGCTCACCCAAGAACAGGCGGAGTTGGCAACTCTTTGTCGAAGCCTTGTTTTCCCAGAAGCCAGTAAGTCGGCATCTTTCCCTTGCCCTTGACTTCTGTTCGTCCGCGATACTCGATATGATAACCGCCGACCTGATTGAGACGATCTCTTGTCGCTTGGCTCAGATGAATCCGCCAGGGCGCTCCAGTCGACTCCATCCTGGATGCTGTGTTTACGGTATCACCAAAAAGACAATACCTGGGCATGGTCAAGCCTACCACACCGGCGCAGCAAGGACCTAGTTCAAAAGTAAATTATAAACATCAAATCCCATTTCGCCTTTCGGTTTCATATATTCCTTACCGGTATGCAATCCGATCCTGAGACGTAATTGAGTATTTGGCAAGTGTCTCAGCTTGAACTTCCCACTTTGATGAAGAAGATCCAGTGCCATGGTAGCTATTTGCGAAGCGTGATCAGGGATTCTAACGGGGCAACCCCCAACGACCATATAAGCATCCCCTATGGTTTCCACCTTAAGAAGAATAAATTGTGTCAAGGATAAAAAGAGTTTTCATCCATATGACAGTATAAAATCTTTTCACTGATATTACGTGCCTTGTAAACAGTATAAGCATTGATGGTCGCATCGAAACAAGTATACAGATCATTCAGCAGGTCGACCACTTGAAATGGTGTAGAATAAGCAGAAATAGTGGTGAATCCAACGATATCCGAAAAGTATATGGTGACCTCACGAAACTCTTCAGGATCCACAGGCATGCCAAACTTCAGCTTTTCAGCCACAGAACTGAAATTATCGGTTTATTCCTAACATTAAAATAATCCATGATCAACGACTGAACTGATTTCTTAAATCTATCTAATTACATGAATACTGATCATGGGAATCGGTCGCTCTAACAACCTATACGTGGTACTACATGTTATAACGAATAAGAGAAAAAAGTGTCCCCTGATCCTGAGATAGCACTGTTCACAAGGAAATAAATGTATACGCTATCTCGCACTCTTGCCCAACCCCTAGAGTATTATGTCCCATAAATTTTGATCATAAAAGATACGATTTATATCTTGCCTTGGCAACATGCGGTTCAACAGCTGCTCCGTTTTTTTCTTCTCCATGTCCAGTTGCTCAGTCCTCTCTCGTATAAGCTCCTCCAAGTTGTTGGAGTACTTCTCAAGCATTTGGAACATCGTATCGACAAAGTTGACCTTTCTGTGAATAATTACGTCGTTTACTGTAACGCTATGCATCGTCCAAGTATAGATTGAATTTTAATATATACTGTTTTTCATACTATGTATTAGTCATTGTGATAGAGTATTATAAATAATATGCTATATATAGGATGAGACTGAAGGCGACGCTGTCGTCGCTGAATAATTTCGCGTCGATGATTACGGATCGAAAGGGCCACTTTGTCCGCTGGTCCTTCTCTAAATGGAACACCGTCGACCGGCTTTAAACTTCCTAAACATCTATCCTGGTATAGTTGGTAGTACACGAAATTCAACGGTGAAATTTCTCAATTACGAAGCTCGTTGGAAACTCGCCTAAATTGGACAACGTTGTTCGGCAAAGCTACATCAGACTAAATGGAGATACTCTAAATCTACTTAAACTTGACGTTATAAATAGCGTTGCCGAATTGAATAACGTGACGACGAGGCTTTATTGCGTATTTACCTGCCGTGATTGAGCTTCTTGAAAAGATCATGAACGGCGGTAAAATCCGGTCTCATGTCTGCCGCTTCCGCCCAACATTGTCGCATGATGTTAATGGCTTCCGGTGGCGCTGCCCCTTTGCTCACTGATGGTCTTATCAATGGCGGTGGTTTCTTCACCTTTTCTATGATATCTAAAACCAACAAGATAACTTCAGCATTACAGGAAGAAGCGTCACTCGACTTATCTGGTATATTCGAATTGTTTAAATTTACGAAAGCCTAAATAAACATGCTAATTTGAACATAGCTTCAAGCTAATGGATGGAGTTTCAAAGTGTGTCGGACCAGGCGTCTAGACGAACCACTAGGAAACTTACTCTATGTATATACCTGAACATAAAATTCAAAGCATAAAGAGCAGAGTTCCGAAGCGTACGTTAATTGTGTATCAGTCGTAAACACGCCTTGCTCGTTACGCAGGGGTAAATGCGGATGGTGTTAATTAAGTTACGTGAATAGACCAGGTATAATTAACATGTACAACGAAAGTAACATGCATTCTTCCTAATAAAAATTAATAATAAAATATCTCAGTGCATAAACACAAGTAACCCTACGACAAAGATCTATTTATGAGTTGTCTAAGGGATTATTGAATATATACAGTAACACTCACCCTCGGGCGATAAGGCTAGCATGCAAAATGGTTCACCCCGCACAACAACTTCTTGCATGACAATTCCAAAACTGTAAACATCCCCGGGTTGAGTGCCTTTCTTCCTCAGACCGGAGTGTCTCAGGAGTTCTGGCGCGGTCCACAGCAGATCTTTAACAAGAGAAAACAAATATCTACAGTTGTTACTTCAACAGTTATGCAACCCTTAACGAAGTAACTTTGAAGGAAACAACGTGGTAGAAATTGCCGCATAAACAACTACAAGTACATTCAGTTAGGAAGCTAGGTGACAGAGCAAGACGTTCTAGTAAATGTTTACACGGTGAACTGGAATGCGTCTTCTTTGTTATTACACTTGAAAGGTTTACCTGGTGTATACAAGACGTGGAAAAAATCTTTATTAGACTGTATGGCTATTTCCTAATTATTAACTATATATGTATATACGGTAAAGAGAATTCCTTGAGGATATTTACCACGTGCTGTTTTAGCTGGCGGCACGATATTCTGAGCTTCGTAAAATGCTGGAAGTCCATAATCCGTGACCTTCAGAACCCAACGTGCATCGATGACACAGTTTCTTGACGTCAAATAACCGTGCACCCTTATTGGACTGCTATGCAGATACTTCATCCCCTTTAAACCATCACAGAGAATTTATCAGACTCTGTGTACATCTTGCTGAGTTTATATACTGAATTCCAACTTACCCGCACCAGGTCGGTTAACAATGACAACCTGAAGGACCAATCTAATTTAATTTCATCTTGCACCAGGACGTCTTCCAGGGACCCTCGGGAACAGTTCTCGGATACCAGACACGGTCGAGTTGGCTCAGTCAAACAGCCGATAAGGGGATTCAAATTTTCGTGTCTCAGCCCATGGATCTGATAATCAGATTATACAATTTAAACGTAATCAAGGATTCGTACTCTTCTTTGTAAGTCCTTACCGTTACCAGCACATCCATGGCTTTATTCTTAAGTTCAAAGGTGCTCTGACACGGTAACTCCTTAAGCTGTACCAGGTCACCCTGAAATTTGTAAAAACTTTTATCAGACAAATATTATAAAAAATGTGTTATTCTATATTGCAGCAGGATAACAGGCTTAGCTTTTAATGAGAATGCTCGTTATTGAGTCCTTCAAGATTCTATAGTATCCTTATCGATGAATCTAACGATAATTAACACAGCAACGATAATTATCTTGATACAATGACCGAAGAAACTATTTATGTAAAAACTCCATAGTAATTATCAGCGTCAATATGTAACAGCAGAAATGCTTAAGATTTTTCTTCTGCAGGAAGAAAAAGGAAATAAAAAAAGAATTGACACCGTGAAGAGAATAAAAAGAAGAGAGAGAGAGAGAGACCACAGTTTATTATACTAGGGCAGGTTGCCCTGGAAGTATAAAATACAGAACAATGTTCAAGAAAATTAATAATAATAATAAGCCAATAAAATAATACATATTTACAAAGATATAATTAATAGTAATAGTAATAATAGCGCTAACATGAGTAAGCTACGGTAGCTATATATATGTTTGTAGTTTAAACGCTAAGAAGCCAAGCATGCAGCACATTTTTGAATAGTGGCACGGCGGTTATCTCACGGATGTTGTTAGGTACGGAGTTCCAAAAAATAATCCCAGAGAGAGAGAGAGAGAGAGAGAGAGAGAGAGAGAGAGAGAGAGAGAGAGAGAGAGAGAGAGA